CATCAAATTGGGGATTCTTTTTCGTGCTATTTTAGTCTAGTTACTATAGGTTGGTTGTCATCATACGTTCTTGTTGGTCTAAAATTATCTGCTTGTTTTAAAGATGATAATTAAAATTTTACTTTAAAAAAATGTATAGAGTGTTTACATTTTTACATCCTTCTTTGGGGTCAACAAACGTAGTATTTTTTAATTAACTAGGTAACCGCACAGCCTATCTATCTATCTATCTAGCTCTGTGGCGGAAAAATCCATCTCGCATTACACTCTATTTAGAGCCGGTGTGAAGGTGTAGGTTCTCAAAGATGGATTTATTAACACATGGATTCAATTTCAATCACAGGCTAAAATATGCTAGTGTTTATTGATGGCTTGTCAAAAAAGCAGTGAGGCTCTACTATGCTTCTTGGCAATGACAGAGCTGCTGCTGTCATTGCTGTCTCCGGATTGCAGAGAATAATGTAAAGTTCCTTGTAATTCAGTCATGCAATTGTTTGGAGTACTATTCTCATTGTGCCTCTTTCATATACGATGTCTAAATGTCTCAAAGTGTTGTATTTATCAAAATTATTGATAACGTCGGCAACATCTGACAGAAAAGTAAAGGGATTTCCATGAAGGCTTTGCAATATATGTTACAACATGCTGGTCGGATGTTGATCAATATTTTACGACTGGAGGTATATCTTATAGGGAAGGTAACGTCTCATAAAATTGAAACATTGTATTAGACGTCAGTACAGTGCGGAACTGCATTTGTGTGAATTAACTTTATTTAGACATGTTTTTTGTTCTTGTCTATGGTGTCTGGCTACTACAGGTAAAATTGTATTGATCTTGCAGCCAACTCACGCAGTGCTTGGTGAAATAGTCTTTTATTGGAAGATATATGAGTTAGCTATTCACTAAAGGTGAGTAATAACTCACACTGCCCTGACTGGAACAAACAAGGTTGGACGGCAAAATAGACATGAGTACCGTGAAGAAGTCAATCTGAAGGAGTAAAAAAATATAACCTTGTATGCGATAGATTTATGTTGTATGCTGTAGATTGAGTGATGTTATGATCACAATGAATATGTACTGAGTTCTGGTAAATTTAAAAAGTGGAGAGCAAAAAAACGGGGCGCAAGAGAATACTGAGAAAAGGCAGCAGCTAAAAAAGCCTGCCCTTCGGTGGGTCCCCGCTCAGATCTCAAGCTGGTTTTAGCTCATCTTGTGCCATTACAGAGATAACATCTCTGAAACATATCAGACTGGTCCCACCCATACGGGCAGTCCAGATCCGAAATGCCAGCAAGTTCCCTCTGCACGAGACACACAGCAACCCCAGACGATCGTTTCAGCCTTGTTAGGCACCATCAGTGAGGCACAGATGATTTTCTTCTAGGCACCATGAGCAAGGGGTCCACGTCTGGATTACCCTTTAAAATTGTGGAGAGCAAAAAACAGGGTGCAAGAGAATACTGAGAACGGGCAGCAGCTGAAATAGCCTGCCCGTCGGTGGGAAAACTGGAGTACCCCCACTGTCTGTCTCCCTCTCTATGCCCCCTGCTTTTATTTCTTATAAGTATGAAACACCTATTTTTTTTTTTTACATTTGTTTTCTTTTTGCTCTATGTCACTTTCTATTTTATCCTCATTGCTTCTCTTCAATGAGTAGTAAAATAAATGCATGATGCTCAGTTTGGCTTTTTGTGATTTTCTGGGTCTCTGTTGGGAGATGAATAAAGAATTGGTCACTTTCACGTGAGACCTAATGCTGGGATTCAGTCAACTTGTTGTACACACGTGTTGTATCTACTCAGTTCTGAAGGTGATCAAGTTTTAGCTAGTTTAGCTCAATAAATTATTACCTAGTAAATAATAATCTCCTAAATGCAAAGTATGCTGTGTCTTTTTTTGTTATAATAAATGGACATTTTATAAAACAAATAAGAAGGGTTTTTCACTAATGAGAATTTAAAGTGAATTTCAAATTTGAGATCAAGAAGGCCAAACAGGAAAAAATTTCAAGGTCAGCCATACCTTCAGTTTGGCTACTATGGCCTGAAAGCATCACTGTCACAACAAACTTACCTTTCTTCAATTATTTCCTCAGGATCTGTTCTTCCCCTCTTCCTATCGTATCTAGTTTTCTTTAAAACATAAGATAAATAAGGGACTACTTTGTTTTATGTATTTTTTCTACGCTTGACTTTCTTTGACCAAAGGAAGAGTTCAAGTCAACTCCATTTCCTGTGTCAGAGAAAGCACCAACCCTTCTCCATTACACAGGAAATGGAGCGGATTTAAACTCCTCCTTTGGTAAAACAAAGTAGTCCCTATTTTGTCTTCTGGTTTAAAGAAAACTACATCAGAGAGGAAGAAAAGAAGAACAGATCCTGACAGAGGGAGAGAAAGGGAAGCAATTGGAGAAAGATTAGCGTAACAGTGCCACTTTAAATTTGAAATTCACTTTGCATTTTAATTTTAGTAAATAACTCAATAGATGTATTTACTGAACATCACACTGTCAATGACCTCTCCATCATTTCTGCACATATTAAAGTCTAAATATATTTTTGGCAGTTTGTTCGGAGGAGCCTGCATAATTAATATCCCTTTTTTAAAATGAGAACACACATCTAAACATATCCTTCTTGAGAAAGATGTCCCCATTTCCTGCCTGTAATGATAGCATACAGAGCATTGCAAATGACACAAAGAGCCTAATGACAATCTTTCAATCCCTCATTTACGCAAATTCTGAGAAAGCTGAATTGTAGCCAAGACATCTTATATAAACATCACTTAAAAATCTGTTAGTACAGCTTCATCTCATGTCACTGCCAAATTGCATCAGGCTCTGCCAGTTTTATTCTGGTTACAGATTGAATGCTGGTGGTCACAAGTTAGTTACATATTCAAAAAAAAATGAAACATATAATATATGACATATTTCAAACAGCATTGTTTTTAAAAAAATAAATAAAACTTACACCAAAACATTTTTTGAATGTTCTTTTTGTTGGCAATCATATAAACGGAATGGTTGGCAAACTGTGTTCTAGTTGACAATAGCAAAGGAACAATTGATTGAGGATTTTTCTTAGATCAAAAAATATTGTGATTTTTTTCTGTTTGTAAATATTATTTGAGTGTGGCAAGCCATGTCAAAACAATCTGTACTTTTAAAAATGTATTTATTTACTAAGATAGTTAATACAATGCTAAACGAAAATCTGCACACCAGTCAAGCCATAAGACTTGCTTTTCCCACAGAAATCCCAAATCAGCAGTGATGTTACAACCGCAAAGGATTCTGGGTGGGCATATGCAAATTAGTTTAACAAAGAATCACATTTTTGCCTCATTCCATTTTAAACATGGATTCCTTTTAATTTGTGTTTGCAGTATACAACTGCTTGGAACACAATTTAGGAAAAGATGCAAAACCAGTGAACCACTCATGGACAGCTGTTTCGTTGTTAATGCAACTCTTCAGCATGAGGTTGGTTACTGGTTTGCTTTATTTACTAATGAATTCTTGAGTTCTTTGTCCACTAGTTTTGTACGATTATACCTCTTCTATAAAAGTACTTTTGTTAAACTTTGTTCATTTTCTGCATATTGGAATATGTATCTACAAATATGATAATACATTATTAAAATTATTGAAATTGAAAATTTAAAGTTATTGAGATGACTTATAACCCATCCATTAAAAACTATTTATTGACCAGCTGACAAGGTGAATATGTGTATGTTTGTACAAGAACATGAATACATGAATGAATACTTACATGTCTGTAGGCAATATATATATCCAGGGGGGAATATATCCAGGGGAAATATATATAGTTATTTTCCCCCTGGATAGGCTTGGCCTATGTTAAGTTTAGATTATCAATCACTAAAGGGAAAGTGATTTGTTGAATTAACATGGGGTTTAAAAATATGGGGACATTTCTAAAATCGTTGACAAAAGTGTTCATCTCAACTATCTTTCCAGCTTCGCTAACGTGGAATAAAGTTTAAATTCTCTCTGTAATCCATCACAATTTACCATTAAGTTAATAACCTCAAAATTTCTGTGAGTGTCTATATATATTTATTTCCTGGCTAATCATGGCAGCATATACACATGGGTTAGCTCCTCCCCTTACAGCCAGGATTTAAACAAATTCTTATAAAAGAAGGATCCATAGATGAGTCCCTCAGTCTTTTTCCTGTCCTTACAGCCCGTAGGAAGGGAGCTCCTTAGCTCCCTTTAAACCTTTCACTCTCTGTACACTCTAGTTGCTTTATATGGGTTTTATCCCTAATGCCCGTTTTTCTATTATTCCAGGACCTCTCCTGGGGTACCTTAGACCTAGGGGACACATCCTAACTTCATTTGGGGTAGCCTGTAGTCCGTCCTTCATCCTCCCAGCTTGGAATCTTGCAAGGGACGCTTGCACATGCGCATTGCGTTCAGATCGCTTGGCACCAGAAAGCAGTGTGGGTAAGGTTGCGGCGGCCTTCTTTACTGTGGGCAAAACCCAGAAATGGCAGGGAAATTGCCGAAAAATGCCAGGAACAAGGTTAGTGTACAGCATATACTATTTAAAAAACTTGGAACTCGAAGGAGGTTGGTGTGGAATCTCTTCTGGTGCAGTTTAAAGTTGTATTAAGTAGTGAAGAAGCAAGTTAAGACTGGAATTTGTGCCAGGATCTTTTCTATTCTTTGCCACAGGTTTGTGCATTTTGTATATATTATATCCCTGTTTGTGATATTCTGGTTTGTTTAATCTAAAAGAATTGTTTCCTACATTTTTTTTATTGTAGTAGCCCATTATGAGCTCTCCTAGTAGGAACCCCTTAACCTGTTCTGAAGAATCCTGGTGAGTAGGGGTCAATTTATTTTTTAGATATTACGTTATATGATATTTTATTCTCCATTTACTAATCTATTCCTTGTATTATTTTTAGTAATGGAGAACAGTCTGTATCATCTCCCCCACGAAAGAGGAGACAGAAGTCAGACCCCTGTGCAGGATGTGATAGGAAGGTGTTGGAAGGCAAACAGCTGTGCCTGAACTGTTTGCAGAAAGTGGCCGCCCCAGCATCCTTAACGCCCTCTCAGTCACCAGATATCCTGGCTTGGATCAGACAGGAGGTGGGCCAGGGCATTTCAGAAGCTATGGAAGCAAGTAAACGGTCAGTGAAAAGGTCCAGACAGAGACTAGTATCCTCAGAGTCATCAGCCTCAGGATACCAGGATTCAGCTGAAGAATTTCAGATTCTCGATCAGGTTTGTTCTTTAAACATAAATGAAAAATTCTTGTGGTCAATTATAAAACACACATGATGATCTAAGCTGAGAAAACCAGATAGGTCAATTGATTACTTGTTGAAATCACAAACAAGAGTTCTAAACAACGCTATAGTTTATCATATTCAGATAAGTATCATTCAGAGTACATAAAATGACGGATCATGACAATTGCTGAAATACACAGTTAGAATTCCATTTGGTGGGACATTTCAGAATGCTGTTTTATTGACTTATCCTGGCATGAATGTGTGACACAGGATGGTCCACCACAAGTCTGGCATTCCTACAACCACTAAGCGTAATTTATTGGATAACCGATGACAGCGGTTTTGTTTGTTTGTTTTGTTGCAATCTTGGAGTATTGTTATTAATCCTTCCATATCACCAGAGCTCAAAATATTAGGCCATAGGCATATATTTCAGGTTATACGGGTAAGGGAACATACCGTGGATCCACAGAGTTTAGTGGTGATGGTGTAGCTGAGAAAAATTCTTGCAAGTTGTTTTCACCGTCTGAACAAGTCCTGGTGCCAAAACTAAGTGAACATTGAAGGTTCAGTGAATCAAAAGTAGCCAATTAGATATATTCTAGAAATTATGGGATATCAAATAGCACATGACACGTTTCTCTAGTTAGTAACGAATCATAAAATGCAAGCTTAATAAAATAAAGATAAAAGATTAGCTGAAACAATACGATTGCAATAATTTGTTTACTCTTTTTTATATCCTCTTAAATACAGTGATAACAATAACTAGATATTTTGTTGGTTTTGTGAAACTCTGCATTTAAAAGGCCGGCTGGCTATGCACAAATATTTTTGCAGCTGCCCCTTATCGAAAGCCACAAAAAGAATATTTTCAAACTGATTGCACTGATAAACTCCATTATTTGCTGCTTTTAGCGGTACTCTAATGAGAAAGAAAAATAATCATATATATTGAAATAACAAACTAACCTAGATGACCCAGTCTGACAGATGTCCTGTAGCTAAACAGATGAACTCATCTGCACATTAAAGGGATTATTTACTAAATGATATGGTAACATGTCCAAGACATATTTTATTTTTGGGTTTTAAATTAGTCATTCGCCATATCTGTGTGTTCTATATTCTCATGGAACAAAAAAAAAAAAGTGTGGATGTTAACTATTTTATTTATCATTATTATAGTTCTACCTTTGTTTTCTAATAAACTTTGACCATGTTTGAAATTTATTGAGCTTGTCTACTGTCCTGTATATTGAAATAGTATAAAATAGTATAAAATACTAATTAAGATAAATATTCAGATGAATACACACTCATACAAAGCCAATGCCCTCTCTTCCAGATTTGTAAGCACGTAGACAAGATTCTCAAAACCAAGGTAGTTTTTTTTTGTGCAATTTCTGAAAACCCTACTAAATATTTACATATGAACGGTAAAATTCAAAATCTAAAACAAATACATTTGTTTGTTTTTGATTTTTTTTTTTTTACATTCCATATGAAATGTAGAATTAAAAAAGTAAAATATAAAACATATGCATTAAAAACAGCATGGTCAGTTCTGATTCCTGAAATTTTAAATAAAACAAAGAACGCTCAGTACCCGATTAAGAATATTTTGTTGCTCACTTGTGATATTTAAATTTTGCTAGCCTACGTTATTAATCAACTGCGCAAACAACACTCTAAAATGCAAAATATTTGGGATTAAGTTACACACATATGCTCAAATTTATTTTGATAGATAGACAGACAAACAGATAAATAGATGATAGATAGAAAAATAGGTCTTCCCAAAAGCCGTACTGCCCCGCTACAGTCTGTAATGAATGCTGCCGCCAGACTGATTTTCTTTCTAGTCTGTCCTCTCACACCTCACCTCTCTGTCAGTCCTTACATTGGCTTCCTGTATCCTATAGTAGTCAACTTAAAGTGCTAACCCATACCTATAAAGCACTGACCAATTCTAGCCCCTCTTATATCTCTTCACAGATCCATAGGTATGCCCCTTCTTGGTCTCTCCGCTCTGCCCATGACCTTCTACTGTCGCTTTTCGCACCCGTACGGCCAAGTCACGCTTACAGGACTTCTCGCGGGCAGCTCCCTTCCTATGGAATAGCCTGCATACCGCCATCAGACTCTCCCCTAGTCTTCAATCATTAAAGAAATGCCTTAAAACCCATCTCTTTAGGAAAGCTTATGGACTCCCAGAGGAACCTCTACCTCACATACCTGTCTCTTGCTCTCTCCTAAAGGGCAGCACTTTACTCTCTCCTCCAGCTCTGCTTAACTTCCACCTTATTTAATTGAAATTTTCTATCCTAATGTGTTTTATACCCCAGCTCTTATAGACTGTAAGCTCGTTTGAGCAGGGTCCTCTTCAACCTATCGTCCCTGTACATTTTCTTGTTATTGTCCTATTTATAGTTAAATCCCCCCTTTCTTAATATTGTAAAGGTAAAGTGCTATGGAATCTGTTAGCGCTATATAAATGGCAATAATAATAGACAGATATATAGATAGACAGACAGACAGACAGAGGACCATCTTGCTCTGCATTTTGTATATAAGTGTATGTAAGATTTTAGGCTTACGAGCATGGGTAATCTCTCCTTTTTTACCATTTAAAAAAAATATGCATTGTAATATGCTATCAAAAAACTTGTTGTAGATTTTTTTTTTATATTTTACGTTACTGTCACCATGAGAATCTTCTTGTCCCCTGAGTCTGGAATAGGAATCTTGAAATCAGAATCATTCCCACTTTATAATCTGTCCATGAAACTGACACAATTGATTCCAGAACCAGGCAGTGTCTCCTCACTCCCTTAGCATGGCTGTAGCTTGATTTGACTGGGTTCTTCCGTCTTGCGCCTAGCATGGTGACTACGTTGTTGAGCAATAAGAAGTATTTTAATATGAAATCAGATTAAGTTTACATTGACTCTCAGATCAATCACAAAGTGGCGTTGCGTTCACTTCTTGGTATATTTGATCGCTAAAGTTGGTGCCATATATAATCCTTTAATTACCAAACAGGCATGCAATACATTGAACATTGCTCTGGCACTCAGCAGGTTGAGCAAGATTTATCCCTTCATCTTGTCGATAGAGAATGAGTTAGAGACCTTTTCTTTAATGTTGTGGATTATCATAGCTGTCAGAGTTTCAGCAGTTCCAGATTTATTCAAGCATTGGGCTGCACTTGGCTGTAAAATATATGGAAATTGGAAAGGAATTTAACAAGTTCAAAGAACTCAACTGCTTACGCTATGCATTCATAATTAACCCTAAATTCGGTTGCAATTAAAGGAAAATAGTAGACTTGTGCAAATTATGCAAATAGAAGATTCAGGTTGGCTGAACTATTCTTCCTGAAAATAGAAAATGTTTTGGGACACCTGAATTTCGGCAAAATGTTGGTGTGACTTGGCAGAGTTTCTCTACTGAAAATTGGCTGATTTGAGAACCGCATAAGACAAACCAAAAGGCCTTAAAAATGGGCTATCGCTGTACTGAAAAATATATACATAATATATTCGCATTTTCTTGCTCTTAGATAACAAATCAAGTAAGGAAAAGGAGCCAATAGAAGGAAAAAGAGGAGGAGAAGTAAAAAAACAAAACTATGTATATATTATATTTCAAATATGTAATATATAAGTATAGATTATTTGTTTTTCCTGCTCTTTCTATTTCCCTTTGTTGCTCACTTGTTACTTGATTTTTGAATACAATCTACATTTAGTGAGTCCCCAGTCCATCAATCATCTTTTTTTTCCCCTACCAATTAACTCTTCTTTTTTGCGCCAAGGGTGAAATTCAGAATCTTGAATCAAAATGAACATGCCCGGCAATTGCCCGTATCTGTTGGTTTGTGATTTCGGGAATTCGACTGATTGACCAAAATTTGGACGAATTACATTTCAGACCGAAGCGAATCTCCAAGTCTAGCAAATAGTAGATGCGCAACCATAAATTGTGTATGGAAGGATAATGCTATTAAAGGGATCAATAAAGTTCAAGTGTCTTACTCCAGAACACCTGGACAGTCTCATTTTACCCTATACATTGATCAACATTTTAAATAATGATGTATTTTTTTTAAAGAGTCTGTTATTTTTTTATATATTTACATAGTTACATAGTTACATAGCTGAAAAGAGACTTGCGTCCATCAAGTTCAGATTTCCTCACATATGTTGTTGCTGTTGATCCAAAAGAAGGCAAAAAAAACCTAGTCTGAAGCGCTTCCAATTTTGCCACAAACTAGGAAAATAATTCTTTCTTGACCCCAAAATAGCAGTCAGATGTCACCTTGGATCAAGCAGCTATTACCCCACTAATTAGAAATTATGTCCCTGTATGTTATGTTTTTGTAAGTATTTATCCAATTGCAGTTTAAACATTTGTAGTGAATCTGACAAAACCACCTCTTCAGGCAGAGAATTCCATATCCTTTTTGCTCTTACTGTAAAAAAAATCTTTTCTTTGCCTTAGATGAAATCTCCTTTCTTCCAGCCTAAATGTGTGATCTTGTGTCCTATGTATAGCCCTGTTTATGAATAGATTTCCAGATAAAGGTTTGTACTGACCCCGAATATATTTGTATAATGTTATCATATCCCCTCTCAGGCGCCATCTTTCCAAACTAAACAGATTTAAATTTCCAAACTAAACCGATTTAATTTTTTAAACATTTCTTCATAACCATTCTTCATTTCAAAGTCTTTAGTTGGAATTCATTGCTGATTTAAGGGGTGCTGGTAAGATTTTTAATATTATGTTTACTTATTCCTATTTTTTTTTTTTCAAATATGTATTTGTTAGATATAAGTCCAATGTATCTTCCTGGGTATAATACATGTATTTGCATTGACTAAATCTAGAGGTGTTTGCATGCATTTTTTTTTTTGTCCTGATAGACACAGTCATCAGGATGGTTTGTGTGTCACTACTAGCCCATGTCTATATCCACTGAAATGTCCACTGGAGTTCAGGCAATTATTATATTTCAAGTACCGATAATTGTTAATTTCTCCTGTTAAGCTGTTACCAATTTTCACATTTTCTGTAATAAAAATATCCATGGTATTTTATATTTCACAAGTCGGGAGAAGAATTTTAAGATCAAACTATAGAATCTTGCAAATAGATATAAAGGTAAAAATAAAATCCTGCTTCATGCTTATTGTTAGTTGTAGGACCTTACTCTGTCTGAGCACCATACAGACAATACGATCAAAGACATCAGTTTCATGCAAACATCAAGACAAAAGCATTTATAAAGCAGCTTTAATATTTAACATATGCCAGAACGAGCAGAAATTACCATATCAAACCCATTTTACATTATATATTATTCACCAATATCTGTGCATAACCTTCTCCAGCCGCGTTAGTGTTCAAGGTAATATTACAAAACAACGATCCCTTTCTCACTTGACAGACCTGAATTTTTAACAAAAATGGTCACATTTATTTTAAAGGGTGTACGCTCAATAGATTCTTGCTGACAT